GTTTGAAAAAGGAATTGATCGTGATTTTGAACCTGCACTTTCCATGACTCCTCTTAATTGAGATAATAGAGGATAGAGGAGATCGAATGAAAGGGATTCATATTTCAAGCATTCGATCAGACATCTTGAGATCGGGTCATACTTATTAAAAAGTATTCTTTTTTTTTTCATTTTATATAATTATCAATTTTTTTCGGCTCGGCTATCCCACCGAGCCGAGCCGAGCCCGCCTTCTTTAATGTTTAATAATACCAGTCCGGTCAAAGCTAATAACAAAACAAAGCTATTCAATGAGCAAAAAAGGAGAGAGAGGGATTCGAACCCTCGATAGTTCTTTGTTTAAAACTATACCGGTTTTCAAGACCGGGGCTATCAACCACTCAGCCACCTCTCCGAAAGACAATTTTTATTTTATTCCTCCGAATAAAACATGACCATAGTGGTTGTATCCAACGCTATCCGTAGAAAGATATACGGCGGGAATCCACCTATCAATATATCTTATCCGTATATGTGAGGCAGCCCGCCTTTTTTTGAAATCAAATAAATTGATCTACCTCGATCCCATGTATGAATAAAATGGGTAGTAATAAGTGATATAGACTCGTGGTAAAGTAAATCCCCCGAGGATTTAGTTTATTAACATTTTTTTTGCTGATAGGGGGATCAAATGGTATAAGTTAATTTGTTGTTAGAGTGGAGGATTAAAAGTATGACTCTTGCTTTCCAATTGGCTGTTTTTGCATTAATTGCTACTTCGTCAATCTTATTGATTAGTGTGCCCGTTGTCTTTGCTTCTCCCGACGGTTGGTCAAGTAACAAAAATGTTATATTTTCCGGCACATCATTATGGATTGGATTAGTTTTTCTAGTTGGTATCCTTAATTCTCTCATCTCTTGAACCTATCCGTTCCAGAGCCGAAACCCAAATGACCCCCCGCAATTTTTTCTCGTTTGGGAGACGTAGTAAACTTGAAATTAAATATAAGTCCCCAAAAGAAAATACAATACAAATAAAATAAAGAAAAACATAGAGGGGGTCAAATTTATTGAACAATTCTGGAATGGTATAAAAGAATAAATTAATACAATAATAATAATTGGAGTCGATCTAGGTGGAGCCTCCGTTGAAAAGTTTTCAAAAATCATCTAAGTATCTATTCCAAGTAAATCAAGTCGATATAAATTTCCTATTGAATATTGTGTGTACATATTAGGTATCATTATTTATCAAGAACAAAAAAATGCGGATATGGTCGAATGGTAAAATTTCTCTTTGCCAAGGAGAAGACGCGGGTTCGATTCCCGCTATCCGCCCAAAGTAAAATAATTTCTTTAATATGAAATGAATATAAAATAAAATGAATAATGAATATAATAAGGGATTTGGTCTAATTATCCGTGATCTTTTAATGATTTTATGCTTATCTAAAAAGAAAAGCGCATAATAAATTAAATCAATTACTAGTTAACAGAATAAAAATAGAATAAAAAAAACCGAAAAATTGTTGACAAACAAGATGTTGCGGAGACAGGATTTGAACCCGTGACCTCAAGGTTATGAGCCTTGCGAGCTACCAAACTGCTCTACCCCGCGCTAAAAAGAAGGACCAAAAACTAATAGACAAACAAGGGTTGAATGTCCCCCTCTATCATATCTGTACAAATAGAATAGCCAATTTATACAGAATGGTAAAGGGGGACCCCCAATCGCCGACCGTAGAATAAAAAATCAAATAAAAATCAAAGGTTAATGCTTACCAACTGGATCTTGTTGCTCCTGGCAACAAACATGCATGAACCATTTCCCGAAGTATATGTCCGGATAGTCCAAAGTCTCGATAATTCGCTCTTGGTCTTCCGGTCGCAAAACAACGTCGATGAAGACGTGTAGGTGCGCTATTCCGCGGTAGTGATTGTAATTTTCTATAAATTTCCCATTTGTCAGTCAACGACTGAACTTTGCTTATTTCTGTTTTTGAGGATCGACGAATCAAATGATATTTTTGTTCCAATTTTTGCCTTTTCTTCTCCCGCTGAATCAAACCTTTCCTTGCCATAATAGTTTAGTTCCTCTTAGTATCGCTGATACAAGTCGAATCCTAGATGTAGAAATAGAAGACGGTGGACTCACTCTCCATCCAAAGAAATGAACTTTTCTCGGATACACACCAAATGAAGTAAAAAATTAACCAAATTTGCCCGACGTAGAGGCAATTAAGAAAGCCGCATAAGTAAATATATAACCTACAGAAAAGTGGGCTAATCCAACCAATCTTGCTTGCACAATGGAAAGGGCGACTGGCTTATCCCTCCAGCGAATCAAATTGGCTAAAGGTGTTCGTTCATGAGCCCATGCTAAGGTTTCAATCAACTCCTGCCAATACCCCCGCCAAGAAATTAAGAACATAAACCCAGTAGCCCAAACAAGGTGTCCAAATAAGAACATCCATGCCCAGACCGATAAACTATTCATACCAAAGGGGTTATATCCATTAAT